GGGAGGGAGGGAGGGAGGGAGGGAGGAAGGGAGGAAGGGAGGAAGGAAGGAAGGAAGGAAGGAAGGAAGGAAGGAAGGAAGGAAGGAAGGAAGGAAGGAAGGAAGGAAGGAAGACATCTTTTACATTAGAAATACACAAAACCTTGCACGCTGATACAATACTCAATATTGTGAAGCTCGAGGAGGAAGTTGATCTAATGAGTATTTTTCCAGATACGGAAAGGCACTCATTATCTTCCCACAAACAAAATGGTGACTTGACAAAATCTGCTGAGAATCAGCAGACTTAACATTTGGGATATGAGTGATATGCTAAAACCTATAATTAATTTTTAAATGACACCAGCAAATGCACATGTAGCATCGGATTAAAAAAAAATCAAAACAACCACATATTACAACAGAGCAAAAAATTTATATAGTACATAAAACAATTTTTATCAACCTTTAAAACTTTTTTTGGAGCCTGTGGCAGAAGTTCCTGGAGTTGATCAAAGCTTGCAAGAAATAACCTGTTCAGTGAAGATCCCTTCTTTAGCATAAACTGAGCAACCAAAGGATTGATACATGGAAAAGTAAGCAGGCATTTCTCTGGCTGGAAGTGGAAATTATTTTGTTAGACTGAGATCTGACAAATTTTTTATCCTTTTTTTCCTGTTCTACAAAGACACATCTTATTGAATAAGTCCTAGAGTATATAATAGAAAGACAGCTTTCAAACAGTGCACTTTTATAGTCCAATAAGAACTAATTTTTTAAAGTATCATTTCTGAAAAAGAGTAAGTTCTGTGTAACCATTTAACAAAAAGCAAGACTAAAGATGTTTATTTTCTAAAGGTTAAAACCAGTGAATAACTTAAACTTGATTTTAAAATGCATGACTAGATTTACTATTAATTCTCCATTTTAAAATTAATTACCTAGATGAACATAAACAGACAAAACTGCTTCTGTTTTACAAAAGCAGCATTTGCTAATGGCAATGAAACAGGTGGCAAAAGCAGGAGTTGTCAGGAGGAGGATGAATGTCACAAACAGGGCAGTAAGTTGAGAGTAGCTTGTTATCAGTGTCAGCTTCCTGTTCCTTACTTTCATAAAACACTGCCAAGATCAAATATCTTTAACAGACACAATACAACGATTCCTCTACATTTTTTACTAGTATCCTTAATCTCTATACTGGAAAACCTATAATCCAATACCCCTCTCTTGAAAGGCCATGCCTATACCTGCTTTGTGATACCTCTGAATTTTGCAAAAGCCAAAAGCAATCTCAGCTTTACGAGAGTTCAAAGCTGTCACATAAAATGAACAAATCCATACATTTCATTTGAGAACCTTACTACACAAGTTAAAGGATATAATACATTTGATGGAGATTGATGGGCCTGTTCCAGCATTTACTGGAATATGGGTTAAACAAGTAACTGCATGAGTTAAACAAGTTTTTACCATCTGTTACTGAAGCAAGTCAGCAAGCAATCCCATTGACCTAAGTAATGGATCAGCACTGCTGACTTTGGCTTCCTGCCCAAGTGAGCCACTCTATGTTTTTCTTTTACAATTTGGGTAGTTTTTTAAACCTGGTGTCTAGAACTGTAGAACTGCACAAATTGGGATGTAGATGTGGTGGATAAACCTCCCTACAGATTAATTGTGAAAGCACAGGGAAAGTCCAAGTTGCATCTAATTGTGCTGACAAAGATGAAGGAAATACTATATATATATGTATGTGTGTGTATATATATAATGCTTGTATATATATCTGCATATATATATTTATATATATACATACAGATATATAATAATGCTTATTTTAGTAATATATTTTAAGAGAACTACAACAAAAAAGCCCACATCTTTATGAATCTTAAAAAGAGGAAGGAACTTTCAATTTATGGGAATAGAAGCAAACCTCAGATGGCAAGACAGAAAGCCAGGATTTGTCCAGCCACTCATGAGGACTGATATTAGATGCTATCAAGACGTTGTCAGCAATCTGACGGATTACCAGCGCTGTCTCTTCAATCCCTGGCGTAAGAACTACCTAAAAGTGATACATAATATTCTTGGTTAAAACTTACTCTAATGAATGTCTTAATTTGCTCCAAACACTGACATGTAAACTAAAGGTCACCCTGAACACAAGAGTCAGTACTGCTGAGTTATTAAACCTGATTCATCTGCTTTTCATGCAGAAAAACTCCAACCTTTGACGGGGCTGCAAATCACACTCCTTATTTATGCAGATCCTATGCAGCTGAAATTAATTGATTTATCCTACAGGCCTTTTATATGTGATCAAATTTCTGGGCATAACATGAGTTCCTAATAAAACAGGCAATCGTGAGATGCCTACTACAGTTTAAGAACATGTGTAACACTTTGAAGCTATAATTTCCATACAAGCTACACTGGTAAGTACATGAAATGAAAAAAGCCTTGTCCTCTCTTCATCTTCATTTAACTTTCATTTAATCAGGTAAATTTTATACAAATTTTAATATGCAAATAATAATGACTTAATAAAGATCTGCACTAAACATTGGCTGCAAATAAGTGAGAAAAAGTGCCTAAAAAAGATACCACTTTGTTCAAAAATATAAGTTAGCAACAATTTGGTAAGCTGAATGAAACCTCTGCCCCATTTTTTAATGCTGGTTATTCTGGACACTGAAACAGATTTTCTAGATTATAGATTTCCTGATTTTTAAAGAAAGAGGTTAACTTATCCTGTCATATTAAAAACGCACACTAGCTGACAGCAATTTTTTTTTCTTCTGTCGTATCAGCAACAAAATATTGATCTGAAACTTCAAATTAAGACATAAGCAAGAGTAATATATATTCTAATAATTTATTTAAGGTACAATCCCATTTTTTGACTCCTAGTTATGAAAAGACTTCAACTGCTATTTTATTCTGATTCAACTTGTATTGCAGTCAACACAGTCTTTTCACTGACTTTTGCAGCACTGAATTAAGATCTTCTCCTATTTTAGTAATTTTGAGCTATTTTATGTTTTTGATGTAGAAGGCACACTTGATTGAGCTTTTTAGAAATATCATATAATGAAGATTAGTGCAGAAAAAGGTTACCTTTACTTCAAAGTCTTCTGACTTCTGTGTAAGTTCAATTAGAGCGGCATAAATTAAGACAAGGTTAAGCAGAGTATTACCCTTGAGACTGTACCTGTAAAACAGTTTCACTGGATCATTATTATTTAATATACACATGTAATAATCTCAAACCATTTGTTCCATGTCTTCATAAATATCTGTTTCATTTCCTTGAATTCAGAATACTGGTACAGTTTGAACATTAATATCTGTGGAAAAAAAACTAGAATACATTAAGGGACTGACTGCTAAAGGATCAGCTGTAAGGAAAGAAAACAGAGTCACTCTACAGAAAAAGCAAGTCTGATCTGAAGCAAAACGTCTGGATCACTGGAGACACTGGAGGAAAAACAGAGAGGAAATTACCACTTGCTTATAGAAAAAAAATCTCAAAAGATGTAATAAATTAATGTTTATGAACTATGTCAACAGAAGGTGTTTTTCCATAGCAAAAGGAGAACCACTGATGCACTGGAAGAACACTTGAAGAATGTTTCCCTGTTGCAAATAATATACAATGGTATTAACACAGTAATTCATAACCATGCATTTGTAGGGGTTAATTTACTTCAAACAGATTTAAGAATAATTCCAGTATTTCCTGTCTTTGGAGTTGTGAAATTTCTGGACCCGTTGATTTGAAATATAGCTCAAGTTCATATTGGCTGCCTCAAACTCTGTTATTTTATAACAACCATTTATTTATCATTTGTGTAAGACTGAAAATAGCATTACAAATAAAAACCAACTTTTCAAAGCTTTTGCTGGTCTCCAGTGATCACTGTTACAATTTCACTGAGTTTTTCAGTAGGAGCCTGACAACATTGTAACTAAGTGAAAAACCCAAAGCACACTAGAAATATGAGCTTACAATATTTGTATTGTTCTAAGAGAAATGTATTCCTACAGAGAAGTTCAAAGATAAATGAGTGTCAACTTGTTTTAATAAGTGGCTTTCTTTAGTGACAAGTTTGTTTTAAAAATACCAGGATAGCAAAAGAATTTAGTAACTTACTCTAAACTCAGTCTTTCTCTGGAATAGAAAATAATCCAACAGCACATATATTGGAGTGATAATGCCACCAGCCTTGATATTACAGTGTCACAGGAGTCCTCATAATTTAGTTCTTCGACACTCTACCATGGAATTTAAATAAAGAGTAAAAACTAAATAAATACATTACCATGGCTGCCCCAAGCTTTTAATGAGTATCAATATAATATGCAGAAACTGGCTCAAACATCAATACAGCCAAATAATGTAAGCATGAAGTACACATATGTGAGTTGGGAAAACTAGTTTGTAATCCCAACTTTTATTTTCTTTGACCTTCAAAAGACTGATTCAAAGCTTTATGTCTCTTCTTCCTTCCTCTAAAAAGAAACAGTGTCAATACCTTTTTAGGCTGTTCTCAAGATTTTTTGTGAACTTTAATAATGCAAAATATTGTTATAAACTTCTGAAGTACTTACTAGGCCTATACAAATCACATTCCTACACTAACTATATAAAGTACAATATCACTAATTGCAGAGCTTGTAAGAATGTCTATGCTGTACTTGTAATACTAATTGATTATTTTATTATGTATCTATCTTTCCAAAGCAGTTCTTCTACCTGTAATCTGCCTTGTTGCATACCAGAATATAAGTAGTATGCTATTGCTTAAACTATTATTTTTTTTATTAAAAGTAGAACAAATTATTTTATAGATTAATTCAGATAACCATCTGAAATGGAAGGAATTAATATGCACACTAGTAAGAGAATAGAGCCACAAATACATTTAATTGTTTGTTAGAAAATTTCTTTATACAACCCTCTTTTGAAGTATGCATCTTTTAACTACGTTTCATATAATCAAATCACAGGTCAAATATTACTTCAGTGAATAAACTGAATAAATTTTAAACTAGTCAAACTGGCACAGACTTTTAGGGTTAATGATTTGTGATGTGAAACAATGCATGAATTAAATATGATTATGGGAAAGAAAAGACATGTCAGAAGTCTGAAGATATGGCCTAGAAGTGACTGAACACATAACAGAACTTGAACACAGTAGTTTCATTTTGTACCTGCAGAAAGATAGCAGTGCACTCATCTATTGTCAGCACAACACATCGATCTGTACTTCCAAAGAGCCTTAAGGAGTAACTGCTGCTTCTTTCAACAAAGGTAATGCTGTACCTGAAAAAGTAAAATTATTTCATTAAAACTCAGACAAGTAAAATAATACTATTTTCTTACAGAAAATGGATAGCAGACCTCTTAACACAGTTTTTAAACTTATATAGTCTTGATCTTTCTCAAATCTTTCTCAGTTCACTTTAAGACACACTTGAAAAATACATATCAATGTAGCAGCAATTAAATTATATTGCTAACTGCATTGAGTATGACCTTGACATCCAGGTTTTGAGTTTACAAAAAAATAGAGGTAATATAGAAACGAAGATAGATACTTAGAAACTTTTTCTAACTTTACATACTGCAATTCTTTTCCTCCTTTCATGATTGTGCAGCACAAAACAAAGCAAACTGCCTAACTGCCATTGGTATGATCCTAAAATTTCTGAGTGACTTAAAACTGCCAGCAGCAAAGGTTTTGTTTTACTAGGAAACACAAGAGACCTAAACCTGAATTTGTCAGTATGTCCTCTAGAAACTTGTATGGACAGTGTATTCAGACATTTTAAAAAAGTAAACTCTTACCTTTTCTGAAATTGTACAGATCTTTGCTCACCTATTTAACTCCCTCATCAGTGCTAAAAGGAGCTAGTGGAAAAGTAACAAAACATTGCTCTCTATGGCCAGGCTGAACAGAGAACTTGAACAAGTCAGCGTTTAAAAGCATATCAGATTATGTGTTCAAATTTTAAATGTAAAAGACACATATTTTTTTCTCCTACTGAACTGTAATTAGACACAGACCAAAAATGGCTCCACAGCTGACTCAAGGATATAGCCAGGATTAAAACTGGCAAGTCTGTCCCGCAACATGGTGAAATCAACTATCTGTATCTCTGCCACTATGTTTGAGAGATATTGCTGCTCTGATCCCTATTTCTTAGTTTCATTGTTTCTTTGTTTCTTTCATTCTTTCTTTTATTTTTTTTTTACTTTCCCCTCATGAGATATAAAGTAGCTTTACCAAGTATTTATTACTGTGAAAGCAAAATTCAAGACAATTATGTCAAAGAAATAATAAAGAAGCACAATGATTTACAATCCTAGCAGTATTCATACACGTTATAGAGTATTAAAAATTAAGTGAATAGTGGATCTGAATTTTATTAATAAATTAGCTTTTGTTTTAAACTTAGCCTCCCCTAAACACTGTGATGCACCAGAAAATAAGATGTTATTACTATTGTTCAGTTTGGGTATTTAGCATAGCTTCAGTGGATAAAAACAACAACAACAAAAAAAAATCCCAAAGCAATTTTTACGAAGAATTAAATACAAAGTCTTCCAAGGACCAAGAAGCACTGTAGAAAAGAAAAGTTTGTGAACATCATGATTTTCAGAGAAAAGCAGACAATTGAAAAAGGTGCTCTGATTTAAAAATACCAGCTACAATTTAAAAAAATTGGTCAATTCCATTCTAGTTGGCATGTGTGTGAATCTCTAGTACTAAGTTATCAACTTCAACAGAAAAAACTATATTCTTGTCTCTTAAAGACCTAATAGTGTAATTACAGAAATGTATGTGATAGCCAATAGATGACTAACACATGATAGAGTAGAATAACACACATGTCCTGAAAATCTGAAAATAAATAGCCCACAGAAGTCCTTATTTTCACTCACTTGGATTCAAAACGCTGAAGAATATCTGGCATATTAAGAAGACCTTCAGTTGTCAGGAATACATATGGAATCTGTACTTCCAGAAGAAAGGAACCACCATGATTCCCTGAAATATTTTATATATGTAAGATAATAGTTTAATAAGCAAAAAACTATAGATATATAAAGTGGGCATTCAAAAATGTATCTTTTATTAATCTCCAATAAAATGCTTCCACTCCATACTTTTTTTACCCCAAAATGAAACTCCCTTAAATCTTTTTGAAATTATGCTTAAATTCAGATTTTTTTAGATCTGCAGCATTCCCTTAGAATGAGGAAGGGTGGATACAGCTTGCAGAAGTTGTAAACAACTTATGAACTTGGCAGAAAGTCTCTACAAACCCACATGTACTCCTACATCCTGGCCAAAACTAGGTTTACACTCAAATAAAAACACTTTTTTGCTGCATAGATAACCCAGCCCTGTTTGTTGAGCTTTAGTCCTCATAATGTTTTACTCATTCTCTTCCACAGGCATATGAATGTAGCATTTTATGGAACAGCAAATGTTTTCTTTTCGTATGTCAGTCTAAATGTTTATTACAATTCTGGAGAACACTTACCCATTTGTATTATTTCAGGGAGGGTGGTTTGAAAAGTCATGTAAGTAACATTCAGATTTTTGCACAGATTTTTCCAGCCAGAATTTTCAGAATAATCGTATTCCATTACTAGTGAGAAGTGAGTCCAAGGGAAGTCAGCTCCAATTTGCTGATTATGTACAATAATGCAGGAATACCTACTAAGACTTAAAAAACCCCAACAAAGTATGAATAAAAATAAGTGCAGGTAGAAATACCCTCAGAACAAAATAAACTCACTTTTACTTTGGCAAATTCTAACTGCTTAAAGTCTATTTACCCTTCCTGGCTAAGGTTCCAACTCCTTTAAAAGTTAATTTTAAAAATCAAAAGCTGTACTCTTCTTCCTACAATTATCTGCCTAAAATATAATATATTTCAGAAATGTCATAATTTGTCATTTCTTTTGTTATGCCCTTTCACCATTTTTTTTCTATAACAAGCAAAAATCATGTTTCTCTACATATTTCTCTTTTTCTAAACAGGCAAAACAACATATAAAGAATATGCAATTGTTTGTTCCCTAAAGTTCCTCTAGTCCTCAGTAAGCATTTTTCTAGGGTGGACAAAATTCTCAACTCTAAAAATGAAGCTGTAGGTGAAAACTACAGCTATCAAACCAATGTTATAATGAAAACTTTACTCTAGACTGGAAAGACCCATGGAAAGGAAGTAAAGTAACTGAAGTTTCACTGACCTTAGTCTCGACTAAAGAATTTGTTCTCATGAATCAAGAATTTAACTTACTTGCTTATGATCTCTTTACAACTTAAAGGGCTTCCTTTTTTCTCAGAATTCAAATCCACAGTTTTCAAACCTGCTTAAAAAAATTAAACAGTTGATGAAATAAAAAAACCTCTATGACTATGAATCTACACATTTGCTATAACAGTAAGTAGCAAATGTGGAACAACACAGGTTATTAACATTTTAAGTATTACATATTTTATCTTGCTGAAGTCCCATACAATTTATGTATTATACTGTTGGATGTAATGATTTAGAAACTTCCTTCTCAGAACCCAAGGAAAAAGTAGTGCCAACAAGTTTAATGTCTCACAAACTCACAACCCTATTACCTTAAAATGAAAAATTAAAGGGTAATACTGTTTCACAATACAAGAGGAAGCACATTTGCCCCTTTATAAGTTAAATTTCTTTACACTTTTTATACATTTGAAAGTTTAACTGGAAGATGTATCTATGAAGGAATGTTGGTTCTACACAAGTGCCTCTTTTCAAAAGCATAGTTGGATTGACCTGTGTTTGCAAACAAGTCTTAAGATCCTAAAACAAATAAAGCTCTTTTCATTAAATATTATTATTAGTAAAAGCACTGTGAACATGCCTCCTCCCTTTCAAAACATTCTAAAAGACAGGCTTTATTCTTTTAAGAGCACAGGAAATCGAACTTTATTTTTAAAGGCAAAAGAACACGACAAGACACAACACTTGATAAAGTTCAAGCAAATAGGATTTATGAAAATGGGTTTTAAAAAAGCAATATAAAAGGAGTCAGTGACTTGTTATAAACATAACTATAGGCTCAAATTATAACTTGAGCCCATAATTTACATGTTCAAATTATAATTTACATGCTCAAATGATAATTTGAGCCTATAATTTACAGGTTCTTGAAACATGTTTGCTTTACCAGTTGAATTTGCAGTGTTGAACAATCTTGTACTTGTGAAATCACTCACAGGTAAAATGTTGAAGTGATGAAAATACTGCTTGTATCAGTGGGGAGGTGGGATATTGGAAACAGTATATCTCTGCCCTGAGCTTTATAGATTGATACAGCTTATGCTGACATATTTAACAGACTAGCAAACAAGATCAGCAACATATAGCTAAACGAAAATTTGATCTGTATCTGAATACTCATTCAAGGCTTTATGCTGAGGAGTTTAGTTAAGACTTTTAAAATCCAAATGCTCTGAATAGGCTTGCAAGGAAGAAAGCTTGTGACTAATGATCAGCTAAAAACAATGAGACAATCTGATCAAGATAACAGATACAAATACAATTAGGCAATGGGCTGTCCATAGCTCCTTCATGCTCTGTTAAAAAAAATCTTTTACTCAGCAGATAAATTATCACTCTCTTGAAATAGAAAACATTAGACCAGAACTCTTAAATGGGAGAAAACAAAATTAAAAGACAAAAGGCTGATGGAAGAGTTATGAAATATTAAACACTGAGAAAAATATGTAGGGTCCTGATGAGAAGGGAGAAACACCTGCACCAAGCATTTACACAGGAATGCAGCAATCTACAGAATAACAGCCACTTTTTATTTCAAAAATACACATAAAAGAGTAATTTACCTTCTATCCTAGATAATGGGTGAATGAAGGCAGCTTTTTCTCTTTCAGAGTCCATCCTTGTAATGATTAGTATCTGTATGAAGTAAAAAAAAAGAAACTCAAGTAATGTTAATTTTTTTTTTCTTTCAGCCTGCATAGATCTTTCTTTCTCCTCTGCATAGAAAACACAAGATTGAATAAACAGATGGCAAAACCAGAAACTCTGGAATTTTCCACAATGACAATCAAAGAATATTCCAAGTTGGAAGGGACCCATAAGGATAGAGTCCAACTCCCTGCTTCTCACAGGACTGCCGAAAACTAAACCATATGACTATATCCAAGAGATTCTTGAACTTAGATAGGCTTAGTGGTTTAACCATTTATGCAGAAGTCTGTTCCAGGGAAGACCACACTCTAAGTGAGGAATCTTCTGCCTAATGTGCCTGAACTCCCTCTGCTTCATTCCACTTCATTCCAGTTGCTTGTGTCCTATTACTGGTCACCAGAGAGAGGAGATATGCACCTTCCTCCCTGCTGTTTCGCTTGAGGAAGGTGTAGGCTGTGATGGGGTCACCCCTCAGCCACCCCTGGATATGCACCTTCCCCACAAGGAACAACAAAGGTCACCTCAGCCACCCCTCCTCTTGCTCTTGAGGTCTTCTATCATCTTGGTCCCTTTCCTCTGGACAGACAAAACAAAGAAGTTTGATGTCCTCCTTATATAGTGGTGTCCAGAACTGCCCCCAGCACTCGAGGTGAGGCTGCCCCAGTGCAGAGCAGAGCGGGACAATCCCCTCCATTTCTGGGCAAGCAATGCTGTGCCTGATGCACCCCAGAACATGTTTGGCCCTCCTAGCTGCCAGGGCACTGCTGACTCAACGTGCCATTGACCCAGACTTCTAGTCTCTTCCCACTGGCCTCCAGTCTCTTTCCCAATTTGTATGTATAACCATGGTTGCCCCATCTCAGGTGGACAATTTGGCACTTAGTCTCTATATATTTCATAGCTGGTGAGTACTTAGCTTTCTAGTTCAACTTTTCTGTAAGGCCTTTCTACCCTCAAGAGAGTCCATTTAGTCCATCTCCTGCTAATTTTTTATCATCAGTAAAATCACTTAATGTACTTTTAATTCCTGTGCCCAGACAACTTATAAAAACATTTAAGAACACTGTCTCTAAAACTGAGTCCTGGGGAACGTCATTGGCCACCAGCCTGATGTAATTCCATTCACTGTAATTATTTGAGCTCAACCCTGAGATCAACACAATCTGCCAACTGCTCAGCCAACCCAGTATTGTGGGCTTGTCTAGCTCTGTGATGAACAGTTCATCTAGGGTACTGTGAGAGGCATTTGCTGAAGTTAAAAACTACACTCACTGGCTTCCCTTGGTCACCTAGATGGGTCACCTTGTCCTAAGTGGGAAAAGAAAGGAAATTAAGTTGGTTAAGTAGCACTTTTCTCTTGTGAACCTGTGCTGGCCGTGGCCAATGACTGCATTATTTCTCAAGTATTTTTCAGTAACTTCCAGAATAAACTTTTCTATAATTTTAACAGGCACTGAAATGAGACAGACACGTCTGTAATTACCAGAGGCTTCCTTCTTTCCCTTCTTGAAAATTGAAACAACATTTAACATCTTCCAATCAGCTGGGATCTCTCCAGACTCCCAAGACAGTTGAAAAATAAAGGAAAGAATTCCCACAATGACACTTTTGAGCTCCTTCAGTAACCTGGGATGAACCTCACTGGGCTCTACACATCTGTGCACATCCAGATGGTGCAGCAAGTCTCAAACAAGTTCAGGATTGGCTAGGAGGTCAACATTATCCTCAGTCACAGTCTTCTAACACTGGGCTCTGGGGATTGAAGACAGAGGCAAAAGAAGGCACTGAATGTCTCTGCTTTGTCTATGTCCCAATTTGCGAGGTGACCAACCTTGTTGAACAACAGACCGATGTTGTCTCTGGCTCTTATTTTGCTCTTGACTTACTTTAAAAGCCCTTTTTGTCATTCTTCACAGTGCTGGCCAGCTTGAACTTCAATTGAGCTTTGGCCACATAAATTTTCTCCCTACAGGAGTGGACAGCCTCTTTAAAGTCCCTTCATGTCACTTGCTCATAAGTGATGTCCCAAGTCCATACACATTCCTTTTCCACCTAAATTCTAAAATATCCCTGCTCAGGCAGGCCAGGCTTCCGCCTCGCTTACTTGGCTTTTGACTTGACTTGCTCCTGAACTCAAAAAGAATGCTAGTAAAAGACACTAGTAATAATGGGGTAATCTAAAGATACTGTACCAAATTATTACTATTCTACTACAGATCTGTCACATTAGGAAAGTTATCCTTATGGCAACACAACTTAATCTGAAGATATCTAGAATTCAGCCTGCAAGGTACTTATGTAACAGAAGGAGATACTGGATGTACTGCTGAATTGTTTAGAAAGATCTTCCAGTCTGTAGATGGAGTCACAAAACTGGTTCTGTCAGAGATCTGAGACTCACTGAATATTGCTTAACACAAAAATGTTGAAAAGAATTAGAATCTACCAAACTGACACAGTCTTAAAAAGAATCCCCATCAGAGAAGGTGTTCACCTTGTGTATCATTTTAACTCATACAAACTAAACACATGCTACACTAAGTATACAAAGAAGAATATGTACCTAAATACATCACCATACTTTCTGACAGGATGCTCTCTGAACTTTTATGCCATTGTACAGATACTTTTCATGTCGTACACAAGATTTAAGATTTTAAAGAAGGCACATAGCATTGTCTGATTCTTAAGATTTACAGACATAAGATAATCATAGGTGTAAATATTAAAAGCATGTTAGATCTTGTCAGAAAAGAATTTCTGGTCAGATAGAGAGAGGCAGATTTCAATTTCCATAAGTAGGTGCACAGAAGAGCCACTCAACAATCCACTGGCAACTTTATAAGCAGATTTGGACAACTGCATTTAAAAATGTAGACCTGCTTTTTTGCACACAATTCAACAGCAGACTTATTATATGTTCATGTGAGCTAGATTAAATTTTTAGTAATTTTCTATCTAATCATAAGTACAAAAGATAATGAACAAATAGCAATTTTTTTTTTTCTAAACAAGCAGTAACTTCTTCCTTACAAAGGAAATGTCCCATTAAAATCCTGCACCAATAACAACTTTGTCTAATAAAAGGATAATAAAACTATCCTATTTCACATCATATTAAGTGATATTGATGTGATATGACAGAACAGTAAACAGTTTATAGAATACAACTTTTACTTCTCATTAAACTGGAATACTCCTTCTACCTAGTCTGGCTCATTAATAGCTGTCTCTGAATGTTAGGAAACAGGAAACAATTAGCAATTGTGAATAAAATCATATATAGCATTATATTGCATGTGTATCTCTGCATGACTAAGTCAAGCAAACAAGTCGAAACTCAGGAGTTATAGCTAAAAATTTTTAAAAACCATGGCTAATGGAATTCAGAAGAGAAGTTAAATTGCCACTGAGCTAACATCAAAATGACATCAAGTTCTCATATGCCTCCTACTACAACATAATCCTAGCATCACAAAGGAAAATGTGCTGCTCTTAAGAAGACAAACAGGATGCAGAATCATCTTAGTGTGTCTGTTGAAGGACAGACAACAAGACAATCAGCACTATTTTATTTTTGTTGCTTCATTTTAATTTTAAATTCAAAAAGGGTGTATACTAAGTTGTTATATTTTTCTTCTCAGCAAAATTTAATCAAAAGATATTCACAGTTCCCAGTGCAACTCTTAAACACAAGAAGAATAAATCCTCAGGAAGTGAAGTATGGAAATAAGGTAAAATAAACTTAAAGATCTTTTTTTGGCTGTGTTTAGGATGATAAATTCTATTCCAAACAATTAGAACACTTTAAACACTATGCATTTCATTCTGCTTCCTAATGTGATCAGTTTTCTGTAAAGAAATAATAAATATTCTGCAAAGGAAGGTGGTGTTTGACACTTTGTCATATCACCCAAAATATTCACACATCCAGAAAAGAGAATCTTTGGGTAATTTGAATATTCTCCAAAACTCTCTCTTCCATGCCAATGCTATCACTCACAGATACTTGCTTCTTGTATCATTCAAATGCCAGGAGGTTGGCCAGATACTGGTTAAGTAGAGGTTATCTGTGGATAACACCATCCACACGCTCCTTGGCATTTGTGCGCTCCAAGTCATGCCACATAAGCACACAACCATGACTTGCACTATGATTCTCTCTGTGCCAGATGACTGAGGCTTTCCAACAAAAGGCTACATTATAATTTTTAGTAACTGATGTAACTGATACAATAAACTTATCAGGAAAACAAAACCACCTGCAACAAGACAAAGCCCTGGCAAAGCTAAAACTCCTTTGCATGTTATTTCATGCATGCAAAAAAGGGAGATTTGATGAAACAAAAACTTGTACTGCTGTGACATATTTCTTAAAATTTATTTGGCCTAATTTAATAGATACTATGAGGTAATTATTAGACTTTTTTTCATAAATGAATCCTTGTTCAAACACAGTCTTGCAATTACTCATGTAATCTGAAACAGTTTTGTTTGTTAAAATAAATTGGTTACTCTTTTAACCTTAACACTGTGTTTCTCTCCACAACTTTTCATCCAATTTAACATTTCACACTGAAGTGCTGTTACTTTGGGATTTGTTTCATGCTTTTTCTGGCTGCTGTACTGTACAATCTTCAGCTGCCTCCAGAGATTATTCAAACAGGATTCTAAAATGTTTTTATAGAAATCCTTTGCCTTGGACAAATAACCTGTTAATAAAGCAACAAAAGAAGTAAATGAAGTGACAAAAGATAATTGTCAAGCATTGTGTTCAATCTGCACATCAATTTAAAATCTATGTCGAGGTATCTTGCACAAAAACAGATGAAATGTTAATGTGTCCCCAGTATGGAAGGAAAATATGACCACTAATCGGGTACATAAATGGTGTTTATAAAACTGCTGTACTTTATCTAGTATCTGCTATAGAACTCCAGACAGAATTATATGCTAGTAGCAGATACTAGTAGCAACACTCTTATACTTAATTAATCTGTATTGTTTATACTAAGTAACAACAGTATTTCTATCACTGTTGTCTAAAGCTTGTTTGTCCTGTGTGTTTACCACTCTCCATATTATCACAACTACTCTCAATTCTGAATGGTGCCTTCTATGTATAAATGGTGAACAATGCTGGGATTATCTGAAAATGCATAAAGAAAAAATACATCCAATATAACTACATAATGAATCACACAGCACAACACAACAGTGAAGACTACAAGGCCTAATTAGTATCTCGCTCGATTTTCTAATTTTTTTCAGATCTTTTTTACTTGTACAATTTCCTGTGTGAGCTGCCGCTCAGGTTTGGAAACAGAGGTGCTTTTATAATTCTAAAATTACATCTAGGAGTGCTTCTGATACCAATAATGAGTAGAGGAAGAACTGCTCATTTTTCCCCATCCCATCCTTCTATATTGTTTATAGATAGAAGACAGAAAAGAATTGTACTTAGGATTCTACTTATATATTCATTCTGTATTCTTCTCCATATTATTTTATTGCTGGAAATATTTAAGGAAATACAAAGTATTTTCCCCTACAATTCAGTTTACGGCAGATGTTTTACATTTTATACCAATTTTAAGGAAAAACCATCCATCAAGGGACAGTTCAGACTGAAGGTAGATGCTCTTAAGCAACTCTATCTCCTATAAAGACAGAAGGAGTCTGACTTTCCTAGGGCACTCATAAGCACTGACTTCAGCGTCTTGTAGAACTATCTTGATAGAGGTATTTAAAAATTCCAAACATACAACTACAGGAATTTCACAAGTTCAACATTATAATTTCAGGCATTAAACTGGGTTACAATGGTTTGCCATATTCCAGATTTGAATAAGACCAGAAAAACGCAAAAAAAAAAAAAGCTTCTACATAAGTCCGGTGTTGCAAGTTCAAACCTCTTTCCTCATGACGCATTGGGTAATATCTAAGATTTTGCTTAAAATGCTCTCAGATTTAAGTAGCTCACTTCCATGAAGCCTAACAATATGTTTATGTGGAAAGTGTTCCACACTCACAAAAGATAGATGGTAAATAGAAAGGACTTGACTTTTGCATGTTCCTCAGTTTCCACATAGAGATTCCAATGAAAATTTGTCATTCTGAGACACAAGACATATTATATATGTGAAAGTTCTCAACAAATGGAATAACAAACAGCAGTCCATTAGTCATGAACTGAGCATATATATACCCTGATGGCAAACAGTCACAGCTACAAACATGAGGGATTGTCTGCAGAACAAACACAAAGTTTTGGGTATCTGGGTATCATTATTCAATACTGAAAACAAACCTAGAGCTGTATCCAAGCCACATGTTAGCAGCAGATCTCGAACTGTCACCAGCAGGTGTACCAGAGCAGCATGTCTGAATAGCATGATCTCCTTCTCATCTATTTTACCTTTACAAATAGAAGACAGAAGTGTGGTCTACATAAGATGTCACAACTCACATTTTATAAAATATATATATATATATATATATATGTAGTCAGCTTAAAAGATCTGCATATCTAAGCATTTTCATTAAACACACTTGAACATAAATAATCTTCAAAGTTTAACCTACAGATCTGGTGGTCTTGCCAAATAGCTTAAGGTACAGCATAATATTTCCCAAGTCATCTGACCCAGGACAAGTGGCACACAGGCCAATGTTTTTGAAAGGTGTGTACAGACAGATGGTGCTTGCTGGAGGAGGAAGTAACAGCTCTCCTGGGCATATAATTAAAAACGTTGCTTTAATGATTTTAGCGTGGCAATTCTCTGCACCTAATTAACATCTCATGATGAGAATCTTCACCCTCAAGAAGGTAAATTTGAATGATATTTGCTTCCTAACCCCACACATATCAAACAAATTTATGGGCTTCCTATTCTGCATTGTGTCCATTTTGGACAAGTCCATATTATAGGACTTGATTGAAGAGGAAGGAATTTCTAGTCTGAAGATAGAAGGTATATTTGAAAACAGCACACAAGTAATGGTGCAGTTCATCATCATAAACCAGAAAATTTTGAAAACACAACTGCAGAGTAAGTACTTAACAATACAAAGTAAGCAAGTAAGTAAGTAAGTAACACTTACTTCAAGATGCTTAAAAAGGTTGAGGAAGATAATTAAAGAATAAATTACTATAGCTGAAGGTGCATTCTAGGAGAAAAATGTAGCTAGTTCTGTGTACTGGGATTAACATAACTTTTAATTCAAAAAGACAAGCAACACACTTGGGAAAGAAAAAAGGACACAGCATATAGAAGGATGTAGCTGGAAACTGCATGAAAGGCAAAGATCTCGCAACTATTTTGCATCAAAAGATAGAAAGTTAATGTCCAGCTCTGTTAGTGAAGGACCATATCCAACTCCTTACACCAATCACCATAAAAACTCAGTGAGGAATACAGGTCATTCAGAAACAAAGGAACACAGTAAGAAACCATTTTATGATGAAACACTGGAGCACTTGGTGATATTTGATGCATAAAAGACCAGCAGGGGAATAGTAACCTGTTAATAGATCACTACCATCACAGTAAGTGATTGTTTTCTATGTTCGCTCAGGGATTAAGGAGCAGATACATCAGCACAGTCTGGAGGAAAGTGGAATAAGACTGGATATTGTGAAACTTTTAAAACCAGGAAGGAAATAAAAGAAGTATGTTACCAGGGAGATTTTTTTATCTCGTACAGAGACAGAGAAATATTCATTAGGAATGAATTGGATATTTTCTCTCTTGTTTCTGTGGATGTTCCAGCAAGAAAGTTCTTAATTTAGCTTAATTTTGGGGAAAATGCAATTTCTATAGCATGTAATCTGCATTTGAGAGGATGTAAGTTTCCTTAAATTAATCTTGAATTGAAATGCAGACTCTTACATATTTTTTCCTTGATTCAGAGAAGCAGTAGTAATTCTCAGGACACTTTTCTCATGAATGTTTTCCTTTCTGTGATTCACTGACACTGATATAGACACGATGTTTATCCCTTGTGTTTGTGAAGATGGTGTTTGCTTTTTTGTAAACTCCTTCACACTAAGAGAACACTGCTGCTGATAATTTTAATATGGTAATTCTATAAATCAGTCTGTCATTCTGTACGGCCAACTAAATTTTCTTTTTGTTTGGCTTCTCATTTGTGGTTTCATGGTTGTTAATGTTTTCTTTGAAAAGAATACATTCAACACAGAAAGTAATGAAATTGAGACAGCAAGAGTTTATTGCATAATTTGTGACATAATATAGAAACTTGGCAGGTAGTTGACAGCCTACAGCAACTCAAAAAATAACAAAAAATGCCAAGTAACTTCCTAAATGTTCCTCAAACCAGTCTCTATTTTGTTATGAAATTTTCCTGACTCTCTTTACAGTCAAAAACCTTTGTAAGAGTCACTAACTTTGATGACTTTCCTTCTAATTTTTCTGGTTTTATAGGGTTTTCACATGCCACATAGGAGAGAAAAGAAGTCAGAAGGAAACCAAAGTATTATGGATTTTTTTTTTCTCCTCATTTCTAACAGGGGCATAGTATTCAACAATACAGGTGTAACAAAAAAAAAATGAACATTGTTTGCTATAGAAACAACATTTCTGAAGCATATGTAAAATATTTTAAACTGAAATCCAATTAGAATACTTCTGTATTGCAATATTGAGGTTAATAAATGTAATGTTGAAAGAGAAGACATTTTTCAAATAAAAGAGGAAATCAGTTGTTGTAACTCTATAAGATAAACTGTTAAAACATTTACCATTAATTTATAAAACATCTTGAATCTTATCTCACCAATTAAGTCTGTATTAGTTTTAAAGAAGAACGGATGTTTTACAGACATACCTTGTTTAAAATTATCACATATCACTTTCTCTTGTTGTTTTAAGAAAAACCTTGTGTGATCAAATTTAACACTGTCAAAGCTCCAAGTAACAGAAGCAAGTATATCCAGGTGTGTCAAATCTTTTAGTACAGGAATAGCTGCTTCTTCCAAGAGGCAGTATGCCTGGCATTGGCTTTCTGGATAACACAATGAACAAAACATAATAATGAAGTTTGGTTTTACATACCACTACTGGACATGAATATTCAAAAGACCTAGCAAAACGTTAACTTTATCTTGTTCCTGCAAGCTGCAACATTAATGGAAAAAAGTTAACTTGCCACAGAGTCACCTGAATGGTAGCAATCAGCTGATCCTCACAGCAGGTAACCACATTCTTCCATCCATTTGATAACATGATCAAACTCCATGAGGAGAAGCTAGAATTTTCTACTCCTGTGACTCACACTAAGATTGTTCTACTATTCAGTTGTTCTACAGCAGCCTGTTTCTACATCATAGTCATTTTCAAAATGATGATTTTTGTTTTGACTGCAGAAATGCTTTAATTTCTCTTCCCCATTGCAATAAAGGAATTTTGCTTCAAAATTTATTAGGAAAAAAATAATTAAAAAATAAGATTAAAGCTATGATTCCCATCTCCTGAATAGACGAAAAGATTACTCTTTCACTGGCTCTGTGAAAGAAAATACTCTTAAGCACATGACTCAAATGAATGCATTTCCAAGGAATACCAAACTAATCTGTGCTAGGCCTACAGATTCCTAGGGCTGGGTATTTTTAATTTGAGGCTATATAAGCTTGGATAAATATTTTCTAGGTTTTCCTATATCATTTCTACTGCATGAGAAAAGTGTTGTCAGTTATGTTCTTTGATACAATGCCTCATACAACAGCCAGAGTTCAAGGGGTAAGACCCAGTCATGTCTGAGATAAATAAATCCATTGCTGATTTCTACTGTTAAAGACCTTTCCTATCAAAATGACTACTGATCTCTTCCATCCCCATTTCTCATTTACTCAAACAAAAATGTGCAAAGTAATAAATGGAAAGTACTAAACAGCATTAAGAGATTTCATGCCTGCTAATTTTGATCAGACATAACTCTAAGTTCAAAGCTAGACATAACTCTAAGTCCAAGTTACTCTTCTTACCTTGCAGGCTTTAGTCTTAAGATGGAGCTCCACAGCCTGCTCTCACCTCTGTGCCAAAATAAATATCCATCTACTTGCAATACTTTCAGCCACAAAGAGAAGAGACTAAGTCTAATAATTTCTGTATTTATTTGAGCTGTACTATTTCATATAAAATTCTATTGCAAAACTATATAGAATCATAGAATAAGTAAGACCATTGAGCTTAACTGCTAACCCAGCACCACCATGTCCTCAGGTGCCAGATACTCAGGTTTTTTTAACACTGCCAGGGATGGTGAGTCCACCACTACCTTGGGAAGCCAGTTCCAATGCCTGACCACCTTTCCAATGCATAAGTTTAGATTGGATATTGGGATATTTTCCCAATATCAAATCTAAACCTCATCTGGTGCAGCTTGATGCCATTTCCTCTGGTCCTGTCATTTTACCTGGGAGAAGGTAAAGTAGTTCCAAAACCAGTATACCTGATGGTTGAATATTGACAGTGATACTGTCTTTATTCTCTTGGTTTTTTTCCTCTGTTTTTAGAGTCTCACAAAAAGAATCATCCTCTTTGAGAACACTCATATGCTGCTCTTCAGGCTGTATCACTAAATAATGAAACCACAAGTGAGTATTTAGCTAATATCACAAAACCAGCTCAATGAATAAGAAAACTGCTCTATAAATGACTCTGCATGCAAAAATACTTTGAAATGAAGTTGTTTCTGTGAAACATACATTTTCTCTTAATGAATTCTTTGTTGTCTTCCTGGGCTTATACAGTACAAAAATCCACAAGACCCAAAAATAGGTTAGGGCCTGTCAGCCTTCACAGCCCAAGAAGTCAGGCATTATCAGATTGCTCTTTCTAAGGGTAGAAATACAGAGCTGGGAAAGTTAAGGAGGTGGTACTATTGGTCTATAATGTAGTTCCATAGGAAACCTCTTATGCCTTTATATGGAGACAAAACATGCATGACAGAAAAGATGCTGCTGACCATAAGGAGCTCAAACTATGGAAAATACATCAGTGAGTGTGATGTATTTTGTGATGAGTTTAGATAGTTTAAACCATGCAGATAGTTGCAAATGGAAAACAAATAAGATAAAAAAGATTGCATATTGAAAATAATTTTTCTCCTGTCATCTAGCTATCTTTTGCAACTTGTTAAAATTTCTAAGTAGCCTTCCCTTCTTCCTGATATATACTATGCATGAGCTTCAACTTCTGGCCACAATTATTTCTGATTATTTTTCTGTGAGAGGGGTTCTTATTGAATAAGAATATTCTTATAAATATTATTGATTTTTCTACTTAAGAAGGCCACTTTCCTCAGCAAGCAAACTAATAATACAGATACAGAAGGCAAAGAAAAACTGAACTTTTATTCTAGTTAACTTAGATAACTTGCCTTATTTTGAAAACATATCTGGGTTCAAAACTGAATCACTGAGTTGTTTCTACTATTTCCCTCCTGTGTATTTTCTAAACATTACACACCTTGATATCTTTAAGAAAATAAGTCAAACAATGAAGAGGCCTTACAAGCACTGCTGGCCTTTCTAATTTTCAGTTAGAGTTAGAATGACCCTTGATAAAAAAATTTTCTTTATTGCAAAAGAATGAAATGTTTTACATCATTTCTATTTCGATGTGGCTTATCACAGTCCCCTGTATTTTAATGGCTTCTCTATATGTCAGGCGTAACTGACCTGCAACACTGTGGTCTACCGGGACACCTATCCCAATTTGCATTGAATTTTCTCAAACCCTCCCAAGCCTACTCGTGAGTGTGACAGCTTGTCTTTCAACACACTTGGATTCCTCGTTAGGCTGTGCAGTTCCGCTCAGGGTCCACTAGATGCCAGCATAAAACTTCAGGTACCTCGGTCTCTCCCAAAATTTGGATTATTTCTTTCTGACGCCATGGAAAGTTTTATGCATCTCCGACAGTGTCAGAAACACATAAATTTAAAAAAAAAAAAATTACTCCCAAAAGATTACATAAACTTGCAATTAAACAAACATTCCAACTCTACAGGAATTATTGCTGAGGCTTTTATGTAACAACTGTTTGATTTTGTTTTTTTTTTTAATGCCTGGATATTTAACCAAAACACAGATAAAAGTTATTGTAAAAATTCTCCCATACAAGTCCAAAAAATTTCTCAAAAAATTTTTTATATATACCTCCAAATTCACTTTTCAGAATATAATTATGCCACTGTTATCTGCCACTTTACGTCACAGATACTTCTTTTTCAAAACAAAGAAGAAAGAAAGTTCTACTTTTTTTTTAACTCTCTGCTATTTTGCACTCCTTCAATGCTGAACACATAACCTGATATTCTTTCCCAAGTACTGCCATCAACAAGAACAGGCCTACCAACAATTTTCTGTTTTCCCTATTATCTGTTCTAGTACGTTTAATGATTTGATGGGTTTTGCACCAACATTACTGGCTCAAATGAACAATTCCTGTTCACTTCCTAGGCTACAGAAGTCATTACTGATATTTACCCTTTGATAACTACAATGAATTTGAGGATTACTACTTTTCCTAAGCGGCCAGGAGATCCAATTTAGAACATATGGATGGAAGAGATCTCCTGAAGTACCATTTACAGTTACTTTGTCAGAATAGGAATAAACTCAAATATTTATTTTATGAAATATCACTTCCAAAACAAAAAAAATCCTGTTTAAAAAAAAAAAAAGCACCCCCACCCCCCCCTCCCTGGCTCCAGCTCATCCCAAGTAAGCCAACCAACAGAAATCCTCTAATATATCTAAAGGAAAACAACAAAAGGTAAGATACTTAGATAAAAATTCAGTTACATTTAAGACCATAAAAATGTTGCCAATTTCAAATAATTGACTAGGATGAACTAGCATCTGCTGTAACTGGTGAAATAGAGAAGAATTAAATCTGGAAAAAATGGCAGAATAAACTGGTTCTCATACCTTTTTCAGATCTATCTACATAATGTTTTTCCTCTCTTGGGATGACTGTATAGTTAGATCTCATCATAATAAAGTTGTTCAGATCAGAATCATCGTTAGCCCATTTAGAAACAAGTGCAAGTGATGCAGACTTTCCACTGCAGGATGATTTGTCTAGTTTAGAAGACACATCTTTACAGCTGTCTGATTCAGATGGTTTGAGGGTTTTCTTTTCTTGGTTTAAGAAGCAAATTGCCTCTTCTGTCTTAATCTTGCTTATGCTTCCTCCAGTAAGCTCTGCTGCAGATGTACTTGTCCTGTGAATTTTGGCAGGTGACAGAGCACTCAGGGCAAAGTTCTGCCTTTGAATATGCAGTGACAAGTCAGGATTAACTACTTTCTCTGACTGATGTCTTCCAGCAGAAAGCAGCTCTTGGTTTGTCACAGAATTCTTCTCCTCAAGCCATCCTAAAAAATACAATTTAATTTATGTGCTGTGACACGGATTCTTTTTCTTTTCTTTCCCTTCATTGGACTGTGGATGATTTACAGAGAAGGCATTTTTACAAACTTCTTCTCTGTACCTTTTCAGACCACTAGGATCCCTTTTTAGAAAACTTGTACTGACTAGTCCTAAGTAAAAATGCACAATATTACGATACAGAAGGCCAAGGTATTGTTTGAAGTTTTCACCATCTACATGGGATTTACTGATGTTAGATTTCTAGAAAGTGAGATGCAATACATTTCATTAGGAAGAAAAACCGACAGTTTTTGTTTTCTATAGGGAAAAAACAAGAATGCAAACAGTTTGCTCCGAAGATATGCTTCACTAGAACTACAACTTTTTTGCATTGTGGCTGCATATCCATCTGAAACACAGTAGCTAAACAATTAAAGAATGTAAAAAGCAGTTAACTGGAAATGTTCTTGCATGAGCAGTGTCTATGTGTTTCACAATATATCATGTTACTGTCAATCCTTGGAGTTCTACAACCACAACTGGTGCCTTGCAGTCTGGCCATAGTTATACAACAGAATCTGAATAACTTTTTGCTTTTTTTGTTGAAGTTAGATTACAAGTATGCAAAAACGTCCATGAGAAATTCTGAAGTGATGAGCTGTTCAAATTTGAAATAGTCTGCATAAAAAAACCCACTACAGCATCACAAAATAAGGAATTTTCACTGTAACATACTCCTCCATACTGACCTTATGCAGGTAGGGCTATGTAAATATCTGCTTTATTAAAATATTCCAAAGCAAAACTACTACTTAAGAAGTTATTCTGTATGAAACTATTTTATTAAAAAATGACTGGTGGAGGCTATTCTTCATCTGTATGGTAATAGAAAAAAAAGACTTTGTAAAGTTCAACACTTTTCTTCTTCCAATTTCTTCTAAGTTAGTGAAAGTACACCTTAATTGCAGTAGTGCCCTTCCTTCATTTTAATGTAAAACATTTTGTTCTTAAGAAAAAAATAATTTCCTTTGTTCTTGGAGATCTGTAACTCCCTGTGTGATTCTCTGTTTAAGTACCTATCTTTGCCCTTCTTATCACTTTTTCAAAAAAAGAAGATACTTACTTTCTAATTGATATGATGTAAATTGTGTGAATGTTTCTACTTCTGTAGGAAGCAGACTGTTTGCATTACTTCCATCCATATTGAATTGTTCCAAAATTTCTACAGCTGCTGGATGTAAACCCCTATGAAGCAACCAGCCCTCCTCTAGTGAGCCAAGCATTGGTGCTTCAACCTCAAGTGGCAGCATTTTCTGCAGTTCTCTCAGTGAATGATGCTGATGTGCAAGGCTAACAGCTGGATGCTCTACAAAATAACCAGAAATTAACATATAATATCAATAATCTAGAAAGATGAAAACAGAATGTCCTTTTGGAAATGAAAGCTCCCAAGTACACCTGGCCTATTGCACATATCCATTAGTCACAGTTCCATTTGTAACTCTGTGTCCATCATCAAGAGATTTAAGAGCCAAGCGGTTAACATTATCAGAGGAAGTGTGCTTTTCTGAGTTCTGTGAGTAAGAGAGGTGAGGGTTTAAATTTTTTTTCCAAATCTAATAATGTGTAGCTGCATTACTAAAGTTACAAATAATCTTGTTAATTACCTGTGGGTTATTGTCATGGTTACAAAGACTTACCATAATCCTTACCTGAAAAAAAATTAACTGAAACAGTAATGAGCATACCATACATTATTTTCAACTATAAATCAATGTACAAATGAATTGGACAACAAAACAAGTCAATATACATAACTTAATCCTGAGACTTGTAAAATGAAGGCAAATAAAGTGAAAGGAAAGAATAGTAGTAATATATGTTCTGGCACATTCATGAATAGCCAGCAGCCTGTTTTGGTTTTGTGTATTTTGCTTGTCTTCTACTCTTGGGAAGTTACAATATTATTTTCCATTAACAGTACTATTATATTGATTGCTACATATTTTGAAACATTATTTAAGGGAAAATAGCACAAAGGAATGAGTTAAACAGATTACCAGATTTCAGCTATTAGTTATTTTATATAATACTAGTGAACACTGTCATAAAAAAAATAAAACTCTTACTTAATTCAAATTACCTCCATAGAAGGATACATGGCGTACCAACTTCTGTGTTGCCTATACTCTAACTTCTTATATATAGTAAAATAATCACATAATACAAACTTCACAGGGTTACAGTAACTGGATAAACTTCAATGGCTGAAATATGTGCTCTGTAATATAACATTATCTTTTCTGCTATATTTCTGCATGCACATGGAACTTGTAAACGTCAGTTAGAAATTGATCATCAATTAGAAATCCTTACCGACAAGCAAAAGAGAGCTCATATTATCCCGATACTTCTCTGATTGCCATATCAAAGATTCTAAGAATTCCCTAGAGGGCTCTGCAATCAAAATACTATGAAGAACATAAAAAAAAATGTGCAGATATGAAGTTTAGCAGCATTATCTGTTGAATTTTGATTTATATAAAACTATCTTTTAAAGATATACTTTGTCTTTAAATTTTCAGTTCATTCATTCTTTCACTCGTTCATGTATTTTTTTTCCTATCCATATGACAAAGACAGGAAAGAGTAAGAGGAGGAGCCATCAAGGCTGGGTCATGAAGTAAAGCAGCACTGAATGAAAATTCTGTCTAGACCATGGCTCCCGTCCCAAAGGGATATTGAAATTCTTCCTGCATATGTTAGAAAGATGGCAAGGCAAGAAATGCTAGTTTCAAATAAGATGAGAAGGAAAAGATGGAGCAGTCCTAATCCTATATTCACACGAAAAGGCCTGAAATCTATTGTTGGAGGGTATCCCTAAAAGAGACAATAGCTTCTTACTATATTTCTTCTGGACATTTTTCAGGTGATCCTTGTGCAACATATGTGCTTGCCACAGGTATAAATACTAGCATATGTCCATACACATACTTGCTAAATACTTTAAATATTTACTGTTGCCTACTGCAAAAACAAGACTGGATTTTCAGGCTATAAAATCCCCACAGAGAAAGAGGCAACTTCCTTTCCTTTTTCAGGCTCTTCTAGAAAACCAAACATATGGACTATGCATTCCATCACTCTTTCACACAAAATACAATATATATGCAGCTCAAAGAATGTAAGTACCAATTCATAAATACAGTGAAGTTATTTTTTTCATTAATTTTGAGGATTTATGACAGAATTGGTCACTACCAAGGTTTCATTACCTGTTACCAGAGAGTGAAATAGGTTCTTCTTGAAGTCCTCTGCACAGAAAATTAACCCATGATCTTTGCTGTCTGCATGGAGGAGTTAAAGGCACTTCCATTTCATCTTTCAAATATGGAATATATTCAGCTGGAAATTGCATAAAGCCCCAGCCAAAACAAAAATAAAAATCAAAATCACAAAGCTACTTGTGAATGAAATACACATGCTTATGAATCTTACATAAGTAAAGTCCTGGACTAAAATAAAAAATATTTTCATGGGATAGTTCAATAAGCTATATGCCCCAAATACTTCACATCTAATTTCCAGACAGTTTGAGGAAACAATAGAACAATAGTAGATCACATTCCTTTGATGTAGTTTGTTCTGGGTACATACACTTCATAGATAAGGTTATTTTTATAATTAAATCACCAAATACCACATCTGAGATTTTGATATTTATGCCTGTCACCCTTCTCAGATTATTCCTCCATAAATTAAGTTAATTAACTGGAAGAGAGACTATAGGCAATATTGTGGTTGCTGTAAGAACAGCCTCAGAAACTTCAAAAACAGTCAGGATTTTAATGAAAGAAAATACTCTTTCAAGCAGAATTAGTTCTCATTGAAATTTCTAGGGATGCTCACTGAAATTAATTACAACACCAGTTTGTTTTTTTTTTTAAGTAGTATGCAAACAAACCTGGTATGTTAAAAGTCCTCTATGAATAACTTTAAACATTCTTTTTTTCTTCCTCCCAATCATATTAATTGTGGACATATTAATGATTATTGGGTTTTATTCAAGTCTTATTACAAATTTGCAACTTCATTGGTTTTGGTGGTTCACATGATTGCCCTGGTATTAATCTCTCTGCCATTCTACTAACCCAAAAGTAGAAATCACAGAAAACACAGTTTTTCCATGTTCTGTGAAAACTAAGGCAAAAAATTGTGAATATATCAGTGCCTCCACAAGGAAAAACACTTATAATGAATTCCCTTTTCATTCCACCAGGCAGGAAGTAGATGCAATCATCAAATCCACATTGCCTGGACAATTGGCACAAAGCAGCCTCTGAATCAGTCACCTGTCCAGCTATTCACAGCTTCTCCTTGAAGGACCTAACAAGCTGATTGTTAGGCAGGAAGGGTAAGGGACAGTGATAGAAAGCCAGAGGACACAAACATATCAGAAACACAGGAAAAAAAAGTAAGAAATTGAAGTGGGTACAAAATAAAGCAACATACTTCGAGTCAGTATAACCTCTTTCCCACTTAGAACAAAAAAGGTTTCATGAACTCATGCTGTGAACTTCAGTTCACAAACCAGTTTTTGTGAGAAGCAAAGTTTTAGGACTTTACTTTGAACAGGACAGAAGCTGGTCTCAGGACAGCAAAAATACCTGATGTATTTAAAAAGAACTATTCTTTCTCTTTGAGCAATACTATTAATATTTGTTCTTGTCTAGCTATTTCTGCCATTGAGACTGGAAATCTTTATCAGCTACATTAGTTAAACTCTGCCTACACTCAGAGTAACATTCCCCTCCTCAGAACATTGCTGCCTTAGAGAACTATCTTGTCTTTCAATGCCTTTTTTAAACAAACTCAGTGACTAGAGAAAGACTGCTTAGTCTTATTACTGCTTCTTCACTGAATTCAAGCAAACATATTGCACTTCTGGTAACTCATAAAGAGCAAAATTAATTAGAAGGAGAAGACTATCAGGTATCTCAGCTGAACCTGACACCCAATACAGAAACTTCTGCCATCAAACAGCGTTCTGGCAGTGCTTGCACACGTTTGTAGGTCTCTATCCTACAGACCTGAGTCTATCCTGAAAAAAAAAAAAAGAAAAGAAAAGATGGAAGCTGATTGTGGCCCAATCAACACCAGAGCTAAGAGAACAACTGGTAATAAAGATTAACACAGCCACCTTCTTTAAAAGATAATTCAAGACGGCTTGACTTCTTATCTACTGCAGAAGAATGGACAATACCCTAGAGAAGATCACAGTCAATTTATTAGTACTACATACATGGGAAGAGTGCAGATCTAATGCACTTAAGCCCTCCTGCTTTTAAGCTTTAGAACTAAAGAGCAGTCAGAGCGCCGATTAGACGCAGATTACAGTTTATCATGCTAGACAATAATCTCCAGATGTAAAATATGTTTAACTTTATCTTGGTGGAACTTGGTGTGTTTGCATTGAGCTTTTATATCAGACACTTTGAAATTATATGACTGTTCCAACCAGAATCGCACTACAATATAATATCTAAAGCATGGTACTATTAGTACTATTAGCCTGCAGGGGACAACTATCAGCTAAATTTAAAACTTGTTGGAACTAAGACAATAAGAAAGGCCTTGGTCTGGAGAAAGCTCAACATTTCTTGAGTATTTTAGTAACTTCTGTATGGAAAACTATCAAGTGAACAAGCACTGATGGATAATATTGCTACTGTCCAATACAACAATGGACAGATCTTTTCATAGACAGTATATACATTAGGATGAGACATATATATATCATCATGTATTGACACTCTGCTCAGATTACATTTATTGGTAAATGTTACTCTTTGTGCAAGCCATTCTACATTAAATGAAAGACGAAAAATGTCATCAGCACAGCCATTTTTCTGCCTCACTTAGTCAGCCAGAATTTAGCTGTGAATATAGTAGGGCTGGCAAAGACTGTACATTATTTTGAAAATTTACACCTGGAACTCGAAAAAAGGTTTACTAAGGTTGGACGACTAGGTTGAGCAGCGAGACACCAAAGCTGCTCAGCACTGGTTGATGGTGTAAACACCATGACTTGGGTTTTCAACCTAATAAAGGTGAACACACAGGGTGTATTTCCTGATGCCAGTGCAGGAGAAGAAAGGATGCAATGCACATTAGCAAATACTTAATAGTTGGAGTTCATTTCTGTAGAAAACAGCTCTGGCTTAACTTCCCAATCACACGTAATTACTGAACCATTTGCAAAACAGGATGTCTACACAGGAGTTTTCAATCACTAGAACTTACAAACACAGTGCTGCTACCTGAATTGTTCTCCACCACCCTCTTTTGAAAGCATTTATATCAGACTTTAACAAACTTAGATGAGTTGCTAGACTTAAAAATATTTAAAAATCAAATAAAGTGCAAAAGTTATAGACATTGCTTACAGGCAAAAGCAACATGAAGGAATTGTAAAGTTACTTGCGTTTAGACTATACAGGTCTAGAAAGGAGTATGGCACTTCTACCTTCTTATGGTGCAGGGAAAAAATAATAGATTACACAAAGTGAATCTTACCTATGTGGTACATGTTCTCCCACAAACAGAATATTAGAGAAACTACCTGAAGAATTTATCTTAAGTATCACCCCTTGATTTATATAGATCTTCCTACCTGATGCACAGAATTCCAACATACTTGTGCTAATACTGGAGCAAACATCTTGTGGAATGGCACCATACTTTGAAATTTCTATTTTGTTTGTAATTTCTGCTTTGAGATCTGAAAACAGATTTTAAAAGGTGCCACAAATGAACAATTTATTAATTTTTCATGTCAGACCTTTCAGTCTTTTTATTGAACCCCCATGATATATTGTTATGAAAAATTAGTCACACTTAGTAAACCCAGATGCTTTAGCTGATTAGAGCAGTGCTAGTCTTGTCCCTTAAGTGACAAAAAATTCCCCTATAATATTGTATGGTTACTATCTGAATTATCCCAAGATCTTATTACTAGAATGATTTCCAGAACAACTAAGTAGCCTAAATACAGTTTACTAGGAGTATGTGTATGTAGATTCTTTTGCTACCAAAAATGGACTAAAACAAAACCACCCACAATAGGTTGACTTTTTATAAGGAATCCTCAAATCTCTTCAATCTCAGCTTGAAACATAATAAATATATCAGGGGAATGCACATGAAACTGTTTTAGTCAAATATCCACTTTTAAAGTTTTGTTTCTGTCTTCAGTAAGAGACTGGTTTACTTCAAACTGCTGCCCTATGAGGCACTGAAATCAGCACACATCCTCCATCTTCAGAAGCATTAAGCCTCCTTCTTTGAGCTGCTTCCTGTCCACCAAAAAAGTGGAAAATGATTTATTTTGACTTTAAAAAAAAACAACAAAAAACCAACCCTCAGGCAATGCCTTTTTCTTTTAACTAAACAAAATATTGTCATACAAATCAATCCATTAGCCAATAACTGTCATCAAAGTTATATTTATCAGTAGTCTAAAAGCATTCAGTAATTTTTCTAAAATTCCTTTAAAGAAACTCTTACTGTCATTTAGAATAATGGTGTTATCCATGGAAATATTTAACCATTCCCCCCCACCCCGAAATCTGCTCTTGTGTTTGCAATTACTGCAAATTAATGCAACAAAACCATTTTTTATGGTATGACTGTTCTGCATATAATCCTCTTAGGGATGTCTCTTAAAGTAAACTTAAAAACATATTAGAGAGCACAAGACCAAATTATTATAGCTATGTTGATTTTATATCACAAATCACAGCTCATATTACATTTGTGTTCAAGATTACAACACAGCCCTGGAATAAGTCAAATGGCGAGTCGTTTACTACCCCTCAAGGGGACCTTTCTAATACCAGAAATTTGGGTGTAACACAGGTCCTATCTCATCCACAGAAATTCTCATTTGATAAACTGTGAAGCAATTTTTAAGTGAACTCAATATAAAAGAACTTGATTGTGTTAAATATGTTCAAATGAAAGGAAAATCAGGTCAAGCACTTAAGAAAACCAACCCTCACCTTCTCCGATCACTTGTTTGCAAAGGTCTTCATCACCTACAGTGACTGGAGCTAAATTTAACACCTCCTTTAGTTGCAAGTGTGATGGAATCTTAACACAATCAGATCTGCCATTGTTAGGTTTGCCGAATTCTAAATCAACAGGCAACAGGAAATACTGAAAAAATATTAGTCACAACAGAATGGCCAGTAAATTTCCTTTCATATGACTGTACAGTCAAAGCTTCTTAAAATCTTCAAATAACTTAATTCTAAACTTATTTAAGAGCTCTTAGGAGAGAAATCATTTGACATTTACACAGCACACACGAAGCTTTGCTCAATACAGGGTAAAATACAATGTTACACAACTTCAGATGGAGTCAGTGGAGTGGAAAAAGTGTGTCTTAACTTACTGTTCCCAACCAAATACAATCCACATTTATTTTAATGGAAGTTTGTATTTTAGAATTTTGAAAAATGGAGGAAAAAGTAGATCTGACTTCCTTAAAAAAAACAAGCTTTAAAAAAAACCCAAATCCCAGAACATGTCTTGTAGCCTTTTGTTTCCCAAGTTCGTGTCATGGCTTCCTGCTCCAATTAATTTTTATTCTTAGAGTAAGAAGTATCTACATAAAATTGCAAACACATCGGGTACCAGGACAAACAGCTTGTCAGAGCAGAGACTCCTAAAAACAGCATCCAAGAATTAAAAAATCACAAGTAATAGCAGTGTTTTCTAATCTTGAAAACATGAAAGCTCGAAATATTTGGCAAATATGAAAGGAACTCAGTAACATGACTTACAGATGAAGAAACACACATGCATAACATAGAATAACCACTAATGTAATATATAGTATGAAACAACAGGATGATACCTCTTCATCTTTCAGAGATACAGTACAGAAACTCTCTTCAATTCCCTGCAATTCATTTTGACTCTCTTCCATCTTCACTCCATTTTGGAAAGTCAAACATTCTCTTTAAAAGATCATAAAAGAAAGTAAGTGACTTCTTTGTATTACCTAATGTCCAAGACTGAAACTCTTGGCAGTAGTTTTAATAGCCATATACATGGCAAAAGATTTTCTAAATCCATGCCTTTTTTAAGAAGGCAATTCCAAGCGATGCTGCACTGATCTGTGTAATCAACCAAAGAAAATTTTCAAGAAATAATATATTATATGCAGAGTAGAAATGCTTAATATTAGGACCTGCCTTAACCAGTTACAGAATAAACCCTTCATATTATAATTCTTCAGCCTCCCAGCACAGAAGTCCCCTCAGGCAAAAGTGCTTTCTGCAAAAGCTGTGGATCTAATTTCTTCCAATGTATAATTTTTTTACTAGACAGAAAATCTCTGTAATATATTTGCCTTATTTCTCTTTTGCCACCTTTTGTTCCTATTTTCAGGAAAGATTCAGCATGAAAGAAGGCAGAGTGTGCTTATTACTAGCTAAAGTGAAAACTAAAAGGATGTTCCTGGTTTAACTGAAAGACTTTAAAACACTTGGAAGTAAAACTCAGGAATGAAGTTACTACTTGCATTGTAAAGCAAAGACACATGCGGCACAGGGATTGTCAGGTAGAAAGTAAATGCTTCATCAGGTGTTTGTGCCAGTTACAGGCACTAAATCTGCAGTAACTTTTTAGGGGAGTAACTTTTTCATCAGTCCCTGACACCCCTATTTTCTGGAGGAATATTTTAGACTGCAGAGTACAAACTGTTCCGTGTCCAGCCTTGGGATGCCCATGAATTTTAAGATGAAGTCTGTCTAATTGAATCCCTTTCTCTAAATCCATTTCCCTGTGTGCTGCACAGGAGATCTGGACTCCCACCTTGGACAGGTCCATGGTTTTGCTAGTCAACCACAGGTCAGGAGGCCAGAGCTATTTCTGCAAAGTTTCACACTAGCATTTTTTTCTCCCATTACTGGTATTTCTGAAAGTCATTATAGAATTTGGATCAAGTTCCCTTCACTGGATATTTATAGTATTCACACAGTCTTACATCCAAGATTCATTGCAAGACTGGGGCTCATCTTTGAAAAAATAGGCAAACAACCCCATTCCTCCTTGATCTACTATAAGGGTATAGTTGGTTCAGTTAAAATCTGTTTTACCTGCCTGACAACCCTTCCAAGCGCAAAGGAAGCAATACAAGTAGTCCAGACATGACGTAAATCAGCACAAGATTTAGCCAGACTTTATGCATGTATATACACAATCAGTACATTAACAAAATACTAATCCCATTTTTGATACAACATACCTGTTTAAATGTTTGTTCAATATCATGACATAGGTATCATGACATAGGTATCATTCAATTAACCTAGCAATACAAAACTGAGCAAAACCATCAGAATAATTAATCTTTGAACTTGAAGAAATACAATTCAACAAGGAAAGTGCATGGATTTACTGGCAGGACATCTGACAGGAGAGAAAAAAGGGACATGGAAGGATGTGCAAAATCCCAGCCCTATCAAATTTAGTGATACTTTCATGATAGGGAATCAGTCGGTTTGAGGAAGGACTAAGTCCCTTAAAGACGCACATTTTTTCAGTATTCCAAAACTGATATCCTGATTGCTTTTCACACCTATAGAATGTAAAAATGGCAATTTCATTAATCCAGTTTTCTTAATGCATATAAATTTCACCCTCCTCATTTTTTCCTAAGATGAAAAGCTGAAGTCTTTACCTGTTGCAAACATAAACTAGTTACAAAGGTAAAATGCAACAAACATAAAAATGTTAATAGTTATACACAGACTATGTTTTATGTTTAATATTATACAGAAATTTGTAGGTACCTGAAAATATTCTCTGCTGTTAAAAACTGTCCTTCAGAATCCAAAAGGGGATCTTTCACTAAAAAAAACTGTAGTCTGCTCTGAAGTACAGATAAAGTTGGCAATTTTTTACAAAAATGTTCAAGACTATCAATAAAAACAAACTCCTCTTCCAAACATAAATCTGACAAAATAGAAGAAAAAACATTATAAAACAAGATAAAAATTCTAAGAATTATCAGCATAAAGAGAATTGTTGAGCAACTGTCAAAACACTATACATGTCAGCAAAACAATAACTGCTTTTACTTTACACTTAAATCCTAAAACATTTAAAGTGCAACGAAGTCTAGACTTCTACGGTTCACATGATAACCTCTAGTTTTCTTTAGCTTTTTCTTTTGTCTTACATAATTCCTCTTAAAAACAAAAGGTACTCTTTTGTTTCCTTGTTTGTACTTTCAAGTATGATAAAGGAACTTCTGAAGGAGGTTCTGGCCAAGAAAGGTTCTTAGCTCAGTGCAATTTTAAATGTAGAATTATGGACTCTTTCCATACGTGTCTAAACCTAATTGCAGATTCCCTAATGACGAAGAAAAAGAAATTACAAAAAAGGTTGCAAATTACTGTGATTTCAAGAAAGATAACATTGTATCAACACAGGCTGGGGAATGAACAAATCAAGAGAAGCCCTGTGAGCTGGACTGGGGGATGCTGGTGGATGAGAGGCTGGACATGACCTGGCCATGGGCACTCACAGCCCAGAAGCCCAAACATGTTCTGGACTGCATCCAAAGCAGCGTGGGCAGCAGGGGAGGGAGGGGATTCTGCCCCTCTGCTTTGCTCTGGTGAGAGCCCACCTGGAGCCCTGCACCCAGCTCTGGGGTCCTCAGTAGAAAAAGAAACATGGACCTCTTGGAGCAGGTCCAGAGGAGGAATCACAAAAACAATCAGAGGAAAGGAACACCTCTCCTGTGAGAAAAGTCTGAGACAATTGACAGATGTTCAGCCTGCAGAGGAGACGGCTCCAGGAAAACCTTACTGTGGTTTCTCCGTACTTAAAGAAGGCTTATAAGAAAGGTGGGGATAGACCTTTTAGGTCTTAAGTTTTAAATTTAAAGAGGGATAATTTAAATTAGATAAAAGGAAGCAGTTTCTTACAACAAGGGGGGTGGTTGACGCCCCCTCCCCAGAAGTGAGGAAGTTCCCTCCCCAGAGGTGAGGCGTTCAAAGTGAGGTTGGAGGAGGATCTGACCAACCTGAGCTGATTACAGGGGAGCTGAACTCCTGTAAAAGGTGCTTTCCAACCCAAGCCATCACATTTCTTGAGTTTAAACTACTGCTCTCTTGAGACAGAAGTGATGCAATAACCAAATTTGACACAATCCCTTACATTTGCGGTATGAAATACATATGTATCTACACAGACATTTTACACATATATAATACATATAGAAGGGCAAAGTAAGTTTTTTGTTCTTCTTCCTTATTTTTTTCCAATATGGAAGTCTCCTTATTCCCACACTTCCCTTTCATTTCTTGGATGATTCCCTGTCTGTAATAACTCTCTGTTCTCTCATAGTGCCTGGAAATTATGGATACTGATTATGTTGCCACAAAACTGTTTTATGATGCTAATTCAAACAGAACTCCATAAAGAAATCTATCTTAAACTTCTTTTGGCTTGCATCTCTCTTTAGCTATTAAAACAAGCCCTGCTTCTCCAGGGAATAAATCTGTCTTCAGTGGTTGTACCTTACGCAAATGCAAAGTTTTTGATCACCCAAATGATTTCATCAATGTCTCTGGAACATGTGCAAAAATTACAAAAGTTAACAAGATTACTCAACCAAAACTTAGAAAACAGCAAATTGAACATTTTACCTTGCTGTGATTCTTTAAATTCAGCAGCATAGTAAATCTTGAAATATTTTTCTTGGGTGGAGTCTTCCTTAAAATCATTCTTCATAAGTAAAAAAGATTCTTCTGTGTCAATCTGAGAGCAAGGATTTGAACTTGGAATAACTTCTATTAAATCATTACTAGTCTGAAACTCTACAGAGGAGATAGGTTTCCTAAAAAACAGAAAAAAAATACCTGATGCTTAAGCTGTACCAAAATCAATGTTGCAACTTCCCTGACTCCACAGTGAATCAACAGCACTTAGATGCTCTAAGAGCTTTGATGATCACCATATTCACTGAAGAATATGGTGATCTGAAGAAATTAGAGTTCTCTCTATTCACTGGATCCATGGTCAAACAACATGTTCAAATTTTCCACAAGAAAAAAGTCCTTTAAGTTCACACCCAGCACAAAATTTCACAAAAATAAAAAAGCATCAAACCTATTGATGTCATAAGGTTCGTGACAAAAATTATGGTTAAATGTACACTTCTGTTTCAAACACCATGAAGAAATTGCAAGAGCAATAGGAAAAAGACAGGATAAGTGAAGAAACAAAACTACTTCTATTTCCTGTAACTTTTCATACAAACTTCAGTACTACTGTTATTTATTAAGAAAACTTCCCTACTGTTTGTCAAGTAAGTAGGAAAATCATTTGACTACCAAAAGGAAAAAAAACCCCATGATTTTCCCAAGCTAAGCATGTATCTGGACAAAACAGTTACAATAGTTTATTAAAATATGTGTTAATGCTATGCTACCCACACAAATTGACTGCAACAATATAGTAACTCTGATGAGTGCTGACATTTCTGAAGCACCCAAATCAGCTCATCTACAGTTATTGTACTTACTACTCTCATTTCAGAAAACTGAATTCTCAATTTTGCATCCCATTGATTTATTCATATTTTTAATAATACTTAGCATTACATCATCTTGATATTTGCTAGTCATCTAAAGGTAAGGCTCATAAAAGCAATCAGTGTATAAGTACACCTCTGAAATTCAGTACAGGACTCCATGTGTAAACAGCAATAGAGGGGAATCTCTGCTACCCATCTTAAAAAAATTAACTATTTTACAACATTTTGACTGTAGTTCAGAAATTAATTTTGAAGCTATAAGTAGTATAGTTCACAAGTAATAACCATGTGGTACTGATAATAACTAATATCCAAAGTTTCACATGGCATAAGCCTCTGAAACTCCATGAAGCCTCTGAAACTCCATGAAGCCTCTGAAAATCCATGAACCTTAAAACACTGCCCACGTTGGAACTTCACTGAAATCACTGGGTTTCACTACAGTTTTATAGATAGAACAAACCCTAACTGAGCTGCTTGAGACTATAGAGACCACCTTTTCCAACGTCAAAATCCTAGTAAGGCTCTTCTAGAAGATGGCAAATATTTTAATGCAGACTATTCTAAGTATGGAAAAATATTTTCAAGTCACATAACTATGCTTGTATATTACATAAGATAATTGTCTTAGAGAGGAGAGGGGAAGCTTATTTTCATGTTCATGCAGTTTTCAGAGACTTTCTTCAATGTCATAATTACATTACACAACCATTGAAAAAATATATAAAGACCAGTGAACTCCATAAAAACACAATACAACTTTTAGTGAAAAAAACCCATCTCTAAGCTATCTGATAGAGTATACAGCTCCAGCACACTTGCTACTGTCAGGAAACATCTTCATATTCTGTTTTCATCATTAAGGTACAATTTGCAAAACACCTGAGTGATATCAAAGAAATCAGATCTTTTTAACTTAAAGTTACTGACTTTTCCAAGAAGTCCTCCACAGGTAAACTTTTCTGCCATTGATCCAATACTGCAATAGCCATCATGTTCTGTGCTGAACCAACTAAGATGAAAAGGAGAGAAAAAAGTCATGTAGAAAGTACTAAAATTAATTTTTATATATTGATTAAATCGTTGCAGAGGTAAATTAAACTTTACACATGATGTAAAGTTTAGAAGAAACAACACTTTTCGTTTCCATTAGCAAAGGCAATACAAATGCACAAGAAAGACACAAACACTTTTATGCATATATTTATCTTTGTCATTTGAAGACCTCATTTTTTGCCACAGCTCATAACCTCAGCATCATCTTCCAAACCTCTCCCAACTAATCAGAATTGGTATTTTACTTATCTCTGATCATTGCTTTTCTTCCATAAACATTTCTCTGGAAAGAAATCTATTCAGAGATCTCTACAAATGAATCAAATATCATTTCATTTATGGTGCCACTCAAATAAATATCCATTACCCATTTGCTTTAATTTGGGCCATGAAGATGTTCTACCTTCAAAAGCTGAAAGAAAGGGCATAATGCTATGCTTGGAAATATTTTTTTACTATATTTATCATACTATGGATAAACACAAGCTTTTCCTTTAATCTACAATAAACTAAACTTAAGGATTATATTACATACTTCTAGTCCATGGCTTCCTATACTTATCATCAGCAAAGAGTCCATTGAAATGATACTTTTCATCTTGATGTAAACAGGCAGGAAAGCAAAGTGATAATTTCCAGATGGAAAACTTCTGCCTTGCCATGCTCTGAATAAAAAAAGGCATGTGATAAAATCATGAGAGAGACAGTTCCGTTCTTTTTGTGCACTGCCTTTTCAAACATTCCCACTGCTTTCAAGGGTTTTCTTCTTCTTAAGAGAAGATACTAACCTTTACCTGATTTGCTATTTAACTTTTAATCTACACATCTGAGTACGCGGAATTGAACATATGCTTAGGTACACTTTAACTAAGCTTTGAATGTGCAATTACAAGTGCTTATCTTAACACTTGGAATGGTCTCCTGAATGGACACATGGATAAGCCGACCAGAAACAATTTAGTATCATTCCTACTACTGCTGTTTCAAGTGCTTTTAATATTCTAATGCCTATTTTCTTTCATGTGTCATTATGAGCTAATGAAAGCCCTTTTAAAGTCTTTCATTTTCTCAAAAACCAGGGACAGTAATCAGTTGAATTCTGGAATGAAATAGTCTATGTGGCAAGTTTAGTAACTTTTCACTGAACACCAAGTTCAATAAACTATCTTACAGTTCTTTTGTCACAGAAACCCATGAAGGAGCACAGAACCAAAGAATAACCAGTGAGTTCAGGAAGCAAAGAAAAATTATACTTACACATTTGTGTTTAACAAGTTTATAGAAAGAAGAAGAAAGTTGTTGTTCTTTAAAAGTCTGTGGAGTAAATGGCATATTGGAAAAGAGAACTAGCTATAGTCATGTGGAAGAACATAATGAATGAGACCAGAAACTTTTCTCTAGCTGTAAACCCATTGCCTCACTTCAGCTGTGTTGCTTCAGTTCCCAGAACTGCCCACCCATTCCACAACATATGCTGTCAAGTCAAATATAGCTTGTACTGTTAGAAAACTCAGGTGACAAACTAGAAATATTTGAAATATTTCACTGACTTGGACTGCAACCAGAATAACCATGCTATTGGTGTACTTTTCAAACCTTCCTGTAAAAAAAGAGAAAACTTAGGGGCAAAAAACCCCCAAAACCGCAAACCAAAATAAACCAACAAACAACACAGACAAACAAACAAATAAACACATGGGAAGCAATGAAAATAAATGCTGTCACTTCATCAGTACAAATTCTTTTTCAATTTCCATTTAATCCTTTGTGGGATAGTTACAATTCTGTAAATGCTAGTTAATTTTAATTAAAAAAAAACCAAAAGCTCCTGCCATGGCAGCAACTTTTCCTTAAAAGGTTCTTGTGAAAAAACAGATCTGATCCAATGGAGTCCCTCTTGCCTCAGTCAAAGCCTGTCATTTCCTCACTGATCTCTTTCACAAATTCTGAATAAAGAAGACAGAATCAGGTAACTATGGGCAGCTGGACCTATGTCTTCGACACGCTACTGGCTAGGTAATTTGTATTGAACTTACTGCTGAAAAAACTGCATTTATCATAAAATAAAGGGCAGCTAGTCAATTTCCTAATGGAGATAACAGGAAATGCTATGGATAACCCTTCTCTTCATTAAAAGAAGCTGTCAGAATTGGCACATAAAAGTTGTCAAAGGACTCATAGGTTAAAGAAGAATGCTACTGCTACTGTAGAAGTAGAAGCTACTGAACAAATAAGTACATCCAATAATAAAACAGAGATCAGAAAGAAATTTGAAACACCACTATGTAGTTTCATGGAGGCTAACTTTAGCTTAATAGCTAAAATTGTTTTCTGTCACTGATATTTGTGAAGTGGAAGAAATGCATCCTTGAGCTATCATCACAGGTAATAGCCTTAAACCAGGAAAACTGTGCATTTTACAAAATACTTTAAATGAAACAGTTCTAAGTGTAAAGTTTAAGCTGAATTAGTTCACTTTAAAAAGACACCCTCTCTTGCCATTCTCAAATATATAAAAGTGTTTTTCAAGGCCATTATTAAAAGCTACAGCATTCAATCAGTGCGTGTTTACCCGTTTATCAAGAAAATACAAAGTTCTCTGCACACTTCTCTTCTTCTGAAAGATATTATCCCAGTTCCACTCAGTTTGCCTGTACTGTCAGTTTATAACACTAGAAAACCTTGCACTACCAAGATGACTTTGCAATCACATCTACAATACTCAGGAGCATGAAATATGTAACTCTTGTGTCTAGGGTGAGTGAAAAGACCCTTTCTTCAAAGATACTTACAAAGGGAAGCTGGAAAAACTATACCTGGAATTGATATAAGTGCATAACAAATATATTAGGAGCAGAATTCTGCATCCAGGTGAGTGAGCTACGTGCAGGAAGCAGTTTGATATAAGGTCATTGCAATCCAGCATTTCCTAAAAGCTGGAAGCTTTAGCCAAGCACAATTGACAGAGGAGAAATCAACGTAACTTTTTCTAGAGGGCAGCAGCTAGGCACAAGAGTGGAACCAGAAGCTGCAGATCGAGCACAGCATCTCCCTTGCACAGTCAGGTCTGTATACCTTTAAGTGTATGATCCCATCCATTGACCCCTTCTGGTAGCACCACAGAGCAAGATTTACACTGCTCCAGAGCAGCCATTCAGCAGGTCACTCAGCATTTCTCTTCTAAAAGTTTTCAGTTGTCCTGATGTCAGCACCATCCTCCTCAAAACCCGTGCAAGAAAAGCCATGTAATTCTCTTTTGCATATAGCCCATGACATGCTTTGCTAACACACCTATTTTTTATCCGTAGATAACTGGTGATCAAGCTGAATGGAACTACATTGGGAAGATATCCACACAAACACTGCACGACAGACTGCATACTGTCGGAATTAAAATAGAAAAAGTGGTTCTGGTTGCTACAATCTAAGAAAACAGCAGGAACTACACAGAACAGATGCTGTACTCTAAGGAAAGGGATGTGGGCAATGTTTCATAACACGGATCGCAGTTCAACTCAAGTACTACAGCCGGACCACTTCCCAGGCTGCAATTCTCCAGCTACGTGCTAGGAGCGCTTCTGTGTGTCCTTCTACCCTCCCTGAGCTCCTGATGGTGTCGTGTCTTGCTATATTCTTCTGCTCACACACTACAAGTGCCCCTTCTGGCAAAGCACCACTCTGCTCCTCTTGTATTTGGTCTGTGGCCTTTCTTTGAAAATATAAGTAAAAACCAGTTATGACAGGGTACTCTGGGGATAAGAGGTTGTAAAACAGTCATTGTGTGGGGGAAAAAAAAAAAATCTCTTTTCCATGAATTTAATCGAAGACATTGCAAAAACTTTTCCCTACAATCATTAAGGAATACAGCATTGTGTACCACTATTCTAATACAGAACAAAGTAGCTAGAAAGTTGGATTAGTTCTCCAGAAAGTAATTAATTTAATTATTAGAAGGCATAGAGTATTTTCCAAAGAAAGCAGGAAACTTGTATGTGCATGGTAAGTAAATCATGGTAGTAAATGCAACAGACACTAAAAATAACTGATGTTTTACTGTCTGTGCAAAATTGTACCTAAATTTATTTATTTAAAAAGCCTGTAATCACTTTGCTATGTTATCCCACAAAGGGCAGCACAAAAACCTCTCTGAAAGAGAATTCTAAAAAAAGTAGTTCTTATATTTTTTAATGTGCACTCAATCTTTTAGCATAATCTTTTCTCAATTTCACTAAATCTGCTATATTTAGTTCAGACTTTTAAGAGAAACAATAAAACCATACCTCATATAAATAGTCTGTTGAGTGATACTTCAAAGCTGCAAACATTTTGTTTTGTGAAGTTTTCAACACTTCAATTGTCTGGAAGACATACAGAATACGGATCAGTTAAAACCTTTTTATATCACCTCAAAATGTTGAAAGAGGAGGTTGAATTTCAGGTTCAACATGAATAGTTTCATAATTTCTAGCACATGCACTATGGACTGAATTTCCTGTAGCAGAAGGCTATACAAAGCATTCAGTATTCTTCCTCATGGAAGCATGTAACAGACCAACTGCACACCATGAACATTTGATTTTTATCTGAAAGAACTGGGCTCTTTTTTTTTTTTTTTTTTTTTGCTTTTTAGCTATGCTTCTTGGTGTTTAATTCTCAGAAAACCTCTAGAACCATTAAGTGAATACAGGCAATACAAATTATCTCCCTTAAGTAACAACTCTTAAATTAACTGATTCAGTGCTTTTTTTATGGATTATAAATTAGTTTTTAAAGGCACTAATTCAACTGTCTAGACTACTAACTTCTCACTGTCTCATGTATTTGTGAGAGGACTTTCCTCCTGTTTTCAGTTTTACAAGAAAAAAGGAGATATTGTATAGGCTAGCTGATAGCACGAGGCCCTGATGGAACACCAGGTCTCTGAGTCAGTTGATGCTTCTGAGGGGAACCAGGAGAGAGGCAAAAACTATACAAAGCCAGAGACACAGTGTGAATGCAAAACAGGACATATTGTAGCTGGGATCTGCACAAGGTAAGACAGTACTTTTTCTTAATTGAAAATAGGTAGAAGATTCAAAGAGAAAGTCAGATAATTATATCAAAAAGTGTATGATGAAATTGAATTTCAATAACAATGAACTGTAGGGCCATAAAGGAAACTTGTGACAGAAAGCAATCTTCATGTATGTACCAGTAAGTATCATGACATGAGGCTAAAACTGCCTACCTAACAAATTTGGAAATACCAATTACAGGTATAGATGTAATAGAATTTGAACCAGTTCTGTGGTGGAGGAAAAAGTAACTAGGGGGTAGTTGGTTACTTGAAAGGAGTCTGGGCAGAGAACAGTAGTGGAGGAGAAGTAAAAAGGTAGGTTCAGGCAAAGGAACAAAACAGGCAATAAGGTATACAAAATCACATAGAGAACGAAGTAGAAGGGAACTTCTAAGGTTAGGAGTGTAGATAGTTTGAAGCAGTGGGTCAAAATCACAAGATGCTAGAGAAAACCCTTTGGACAGCCTGCTGGACTCTCCATCAGATCTACATCCAACAGATTTGGTGTGAAGCTAGCAGGGATAGGTTTGTAAGGAGGGACGGATCCACCACACCTTAAGTGCTGGAGAGCAGCGAACAGAACCACACCTCAGCATTACCGATGTGTATCACTGACTAAAACTTCCTTATACCAATATAACCATGCAATAATTCAAGTATTAGCTATAGAATTGCAACTACTACTCCCAGTGGCAAAACCTGAATTAATACACCTAGAAGTAGTGAACTGCTCAGTGGTCACTCCAGGTACCACTAGTTCCTTAAGGGTGTGTCAATCAGTAAGCAAAAAACCCACTGCATCCGGGTACGTTCCAACTTTCCAATTTAAAACTGAAAAAGTGGGACCTAGAAATACCAGTCTGTGAGCCTACAAGGAAGTCTTCAAACTTTTTAAACGAACACAAGTATAACCCTGATTCATTCTCCAAGGACTCGAGGGAACACCACGTTCGGCAAACGAAATATGAGGTACTTCTGCCAGCATAAAATATTTTTAAATCTACGAACAGGGGGGTACCAGTAAGTATCATGACATGAGACCAACCACGGTCACCCACCTCATCCCCTCACGGCGCCACGACCGCCCTTCCCTCAGCGCCCGGCACCTTCGCCCCGCCCACTCGGGACGCCGAATCCAGCCCTCTGATTGGCGGTCTCCCCAAGCATTCCCCTATGATTGGCTGTCTCCCCTAGCCTTCACCTCTGATTGGCTATCTCGCTGAGTTTGTCCCCTCTGACTGGCTGCCGCTGCTCCCGCCTCCCCCCCTTCCCTCAGGAGCGGAGCGTCCCTAATCCCTGCATGAACTAAGGGGAATTCTCAGGAGTTAGCCGATAGGAAAGCTTACAAGATTTTCAAAGCTGAAAGTATTTTTAAAGCAGTAAATGCGTAAGTAAAAGCAATTAAGTCACTTCTTCTGTTCCCCGTAGCAGGTTGCATGGGAGAAGAAGTTAAAAGGACGGGACCGGGTTAGTTTTTAAAGGGATCATATCTGAATGCTGACCTGCTCCCTGTTACCTGGGGAAGAGAAACAGAACGAGGCCACGACTTAATACCCAGAAATACTTACTCTTCTATGTTGAAAACCTGTGAAATGTCAGTGACAGTCAGATTAGGGGAAAAAAAAAAAGTTTTTTTTTTTTTCCTTTTTTTCTTTTAATGGCTGCTTAAATTGCTCTCACAAACCACAAGCTGCTGCCTGTTGAACAAATTGTGTTTGTCAGAAGGCAGTTTAGTGTCAGATTTCTGCAGTGTCCAGACTCCGGCCGGTCCCTGGAATGAGAAGGATTTCAGGAGTAGCTGTGCAGAGGCCCCATTTCCCCTCCTCTGCCTCACACGCATCCTGGCCCGTAACTAGGCCAGACACTTCTGCTTGCTGAAATGACACCTTACTGTCGCTGGTGGCACAAAGCCGTTTTATTGTCTGTCCGTGCCTTCTCCTCCTTTTACCATGGATGTGGATACCCACAGAGAACACATCGGAGGTGCAAAACCCCTTGGCAGTGCTGCAGCAGGTGCCTTCAGCCAGTTGGTGTAACTGTCTGGAAATACTTGTCTCCTCCAAGAACTCATTGCAGGCTCCGTTCCAGATGAGGGTTGGTTTCTCTGTGGAAAACAAAATTTACGCTTTTCATTCTGGTTCTAGGAATTCCATCAGTATTTGTAGATTCCAGTAAGTGAAAAAGTTAAATAAAAAGCATATGACAGATGATTTCTGTACTGCTGTTGGGGGTAATTAGGGTTTTAAAGTATTTTTTTTAACTCTGAGGATGGGTTTAGCTCAGTCACAGGCACATTGCCAGTGTTTCCTAGACAGCTGTTCATATGAAAAATGCAAATGCTGGTAATGTATAGTTTTCTTGGTATTTTTATATTTATAATATATTTTTATTCTGTCTAAGAATTAGGGGATGAATTGTTAGGCCAAGTAGGCACAATACAGAATGCACTAACTTCCAATTGAAATACTTCGGAAGTGATCCTCTCCAACTGGAATACAGAGGAATACATGTTTTACCCATGTTAAGACAATCCCACCCCATCCCCAGGAGACAGAGAAGCTATTGGCAAAGGTTCCGGCCCCTGGCATAGAGGCCCCAGGCTGAAGAGGAAAGGTGAGGGGATATTTGCCTGGTGCAGAAGCTCTTTGTGCTGCCTCAGCTGCTACAGTGCATGTCCTGCAGCCTTCCTGGTGCTCACACTCCACCCTGCATGCTTCCCCCAGGCCTCACTCCCCTTCCTGGGATAAACACTGCGAGACAATGGCTGGTGAGGCAGTGGACAGGGACTCTTGCTGCCCTGTGCCAGGGCATGTTGGTGCATCTCCTTATTTCCTTTCAGGGTCAGGATTAGTATTCATGACTTCAGGAGGGGTGTGAAGCCCCAGCTATGCTCATGGCCTCCAGCCATGCTACATGAGCTTGGATATGGAGCAGCCCTGCCCAAAAGGCTGATGCAGCCTGGGGATGTGCTCTACCTGTGGCAGCCTGTAGGGACGCAGGGATGCTCTCAGGGAGGGGAGGCACTGGAGAGACCACCTCCTCCTCACCCTGTGTGAGCAATCCATCCACAGCCCCTCCTCTACCTGCCCAACTCCACCTCTGGCTTGGGTTCTTTTCCTCAGGAGCAGCCCCTACTGCAGACACAAACTTGCTGATCTCTATTCTTGGGGGACACTCATGGTCAAGGAGACCATGAGTGTCTGAGGGACAATGTGTGTCCTACCACTGGAGCAGGGCAAGGAGACTCAGCTGGATGAGAAATGGATGCTTCCAAGATGAGGCAGGAGCTGCACCTGCTGTCCAAGGCTCTAATTCCCCTTCAGTTATCTAGAAACCATCTCAGAGCATCTGAGTAAGCATCTGCCACTAAGTAATGACATAAACTTCAAGTGAAAACAAAGAACAAGTAGATTTTTTTAAAAACTTATTAATTAAGGTAATGATAAAAGCAATAAAACCTTATACTGACTTTCATTTCAGATAAAAAAGTAACTGGAAAATATAATTAGTAAGTCTGAAAATGGTGATGAGAGAAAAATAAAAACCGTGATGACACAGGGCACATAGCTAATTTCTGGCTAGAGTGCTTGAAAAATGAAGAATGGTTGCCATATTTTGTGTCGAAAAATGTCCCTCCATGTATGGCAAATCCAGCAGAGGTTGTGGAAGAGGTTTTGTGAAAGGCTGCTGTGGACTTAAGTGAGCTCCACTAGGGGCTGTCATTGTTACACATCTAAGTGAACAGTTTTGTCTTGCAAGAGCAAAGTGTAGGTAGAAAAATCCCACAGGGACTGAAAAAGAAGGGCTTCAGATCTCCAGGTATATCCTTTCAAGAGGTCTTTGTATTAGCCCAAAGTCTGTCAGAAGGGTAAAATCTCATAAGGGAAATTTAGTTTAGTGATAACCCCTGAAATAAAAGTACAATGCTTTCATGGAATTTTGATGCATTTTCTTTGCTTTCTTTTGAGAGAAAATAAAAACTTTATGACAACTAAATGATTGTGCTGACACAGAAATTTTGTGAACTTGTTTAGCAGTTTCCAAATACTGCAAATTCTCATTCCATCTTCCTAGAAGAACCATGTATGTATGGTATGTGGTCATTGGCATATAACACTAAAGATTTATGCATTGTTTTTCCAAATCCTGTTTGTTGAGGAGGAAGTATCAGGCAATATTTTTACTTTTTTTTCTTTCTTTTTTTTTTTTTTTTTTTTTTTTTTTTTTTTTGGTATGAAGAATACTTCTGTCACATGTATCTCACTAAGCCCTGAAAGAAGTTCAAGTATATAAGTAATACCTTTGTAATATTAAGAATGCTTTTAAAAACACATTTGCAAACCTTATCTTATACTAACCACAGGAGGCATCAGAGTGAGTGACACTACAAGGTGACTCCAGCCCATTTGCATGGTGGAGGAAACTAATTTAAAAGTGACCTTATGAAGATGTGCTTGCCACAGACAACATTGGAGACACATAAAAACTTAAAAAACATGAGCAAGATGTTTTTATTCTGTGATACTTCTAAGATTAGATCTTTGTTATTGTTAATTTTAAAAATGGCCTAAGACATTTTGTAGTGGAATAATGTAGTATAATACTTTGCCACAGGCATGCTAGCTGTAAAAATGTGGTGAAGGCATAAAGCGCTGCCTCAGAGAATATCTACCTTATGACTGAGACTTTGCATTTGAGCATAATTTCATTGAAAAGTACAAGGCAAAATAACTGTATTTGTTTCAGTGTTTCTCAGTGAAGTCACTTACCTGTCTGAGACAACTGCAACAATATTTGATGAATCCAAAAATTCCTGGGACAATTAGTTATGGTGACTTGAGTCTAAATCTGAGCAGCAATAGCAAGTCATTTCTGTTCTCCACAGGTAGGAAGCTTATGAAATTCTGGACCTTTCAGTGGCCATGTGTGTTTTTAATCACCAGGGAGACACATACATTGATTAATTCAAAGAGTTTAGTGTCAGGCTCCCTGCTGAGTCAATATAGGTGCTCTGTATTTCAGTGCATGGAGGAGTGCTGTGTATGTCATTGCTCAGGCTGGGGAAGGGTATTATTCTTCCCCTTATCTACTGAGCCTGTCTCTGAACGCAGATACATGCAAAGTGTGAAGTTGGATGGATTACTCCCAGCAGTCCTGGGTTGCATTTCTGGCCTAGAAACACCATTCTGCAGTGAGCATCTGCCATTAAAAAAGGCTCAACATCCATGTCTAAGTTCCT